TAGATCACTGTGCTGTAGCCCCTCTGGCCTCCTGGGTATTCCTCAAACACTCCAGGCATGCTGTTTCCTCAGAGCCTTTGCACTGGCTGTTCCCCCTGATTGGAATGTTCTTCCCTTAGACATCCACATGCCTAATTGCCTCGCCTACTTCAAGTGACTGCTCAAATAGCATCTCCTCAGTGAAATATGCCTTGACCCACTTCTGCCTTCCTCCAAATTCTGGTGTCCCTTACCCCTTATAGTACATATTATCATCTAACACACAATACAATATACTTTTCTTTTTGTGTGTGTGTTTGTTGTTTCTTCCTCCCCACTAGCTCCATTTCTTTCCATCACCTTCCTCTCCTCCACATGTTCCGTAAGGGCCAAGATTGTTTTATCTTCTCTTTTCACTGATACATCTCAAGTACCTAGAGCAATGCTCAATACGTATTTGTGAGGTAAATAAATTTCTTAAAATGAGTGATATTTCCTAATGTTAACGGGGTCAATTCACCAAGAAAACATAACAATACCAAAATAAGTACACTCTTCATTAGAAAATTTTAAATACATGAGGAAAAAACTGGCAGAACTGAAATGAGAAACAGACGAAACTACAATTATAGTTGGGGGTTTCAACAGTTCTCTCTCTCAGTAATTGATGAAACAATTAGTTAAAATATATAAGACTAAAACAATGCTATCAACAAACTGGATCTAATTGACATTTACTAAATACTCTACCCAACAACAACTGAACAAATGTTTTTCTCAAGTGCATATGGTCATTCACCAAGATGTATTATATTGTATATTGAAAAACAAAACTTAATAAACTTGAGTTAGAATCATACATAGTGTCTTCTAATCAAATCAGAGGTCAATAATGATTAAAGATAAGTACCTGGAAAAGCCCCAAATATTTAGAAATAAGATTTTCCTAAATAACCTCTGGGTCAAAGAAAGAATCACAAGGGAAATCATAAATATTTTTAACTTCATGAAAGTGAAAGGCAATATACCAAAATGTGTAGGATGCAGCTAAAGCAACACTTAGAGGGAAACAAGGACTTAAATAATTATATCAGAGAAGAAGAAAGGTATAAAATCAATTGTCTAAACTTTCAACTTAAGAAGCAAGAACAAAAAAGAGCAAATTACACACAAATAAGTAAAAGGTGGAAATAAGTAGAAATCAATGAGATAGAAAGAAGAATAATTAGAGAAAATTCAAATGCTGTTTTCTGTTTTCAATCAATAAAGTTTATAAACATCTAGCTAGGCTAAAAGAAAAAAAGAGAAAGAGAAGACACAAATTACCACTATTAGGAAAGAAACAGAGGCATCACTACAGATTCTACAGGCATTCAAAGGATAATAAGAGAATATGATGAGCAACTTTAAGCCAATATTTTTATCAACTTAGATAAAATGGAAAATATTCTTAAAAGACACAAATTAACAAAACGAAATCAAGAAGAATTATAACATTTGTATAAGCTTATATCTATTTAAAATGTTGAATTTATAATTCAAAACATTCTCACAAAGAAAATGCCAGGCCCAAATGGCTTCACTGATGAGTTCTACAAATAATGTCAATTCTACACAAACTTGGAGGTGGGAGTACTTCCCAACTCATTTTATAAAGTCATCAATACGCTTTTAGCAAAACCAGATAAACATACTACAAGAAAAGAAAATTACAGACTAATACTTCTTATCAACATAGACACAAAAATCCTTAACAGAATATTATCATGTAGAATTCAGTAATATATAAAGACGATAATACACCATGACAACATGGGGTTTATACCAGATATGCAAGGTTGACTTCTCATTTGAAAAGCAGCCAACATAATTTACTACATTAACAGATTAAAGGAGAAAAATTACATGATCATCTCAATATGCACAAAAAAGCATTTGACAAAATTCAATACCCATACATGATACAAAAAGAAAAACAAAAAAGCCTGCCAGCAAAGTAGGATTACAAAAGAATTTCTTCAACCTGATAAAGGGCATCTCTGAAAAAGCTACAATTTCTGCCCCCCAAGATCAGTAACTAGGCAAGAATGTCCACTCTCACTAGTGCTATTCAACATTTTGCTGAAGGTCTTAGCCAATGCAATAAGTCAAGAAAAATAAATAAAATGCATACAGATTGATAAGAAAAATGTAAAACTATCTTTATTCACAGATGATACTTATGTACACAGATAATTTTAAGGAATCTACAAAAAAAAAAAAAGCTATAACAACCAAGTGAATTTAGCAAAGGTACAGGATACAAGGTCAATATACTACATTTGGGAGGAAGGAATGGGTGGTACTCAGAGTCAGTTCCCTTATACAACTCTGGGCAGGGGATGACCTTTCTCTGCTCTTAAATTGAGCTCATGAAGCCACATTGAGTTTTGAGCCTAAGTAGAGCACATCTCCAAATTCCACCTTCTGCATCCCTCTTCTCTGTTCCACACCCCCCAGTAGATACACATACCTCCATACACACAAACACCTAAACACAGGCTTCTAAATCTATGTGTCAGAGCTGGAAGGGATCTCAGAGACTGTCAGCTCCAATGCTTCTATTCTAAAGATGGGGAGACAGAACCTGTTGATCCAATTAATTAATTAATTAATTAATTAATTAAAGATGGGGAGACAGAAGCCTAAAGTTAAGAGGGACTATTTTCCCTGTCAGCAACACCTTAGTGGCAAAGCAAGGGACAGAACACACACATCTGACTCGTGAGCTCTCTCCTCCCAACCTCTCATTCCATTACCTGACTGAGAGGCCAAGCCCTAACCCTCCCAAGTCCCCAGAGCACACCTGCCCACTCAGCACCCCCAGGCTCTCCCTGTTCCTTCTGTCCCAGTCTCCCCACACTCCCTGCTCCCCCCACCACCCCCATCAGCCTGCCCCCCAAAAGCCAGGCCGTACCTCTTTGTGATGGGACAGGCGAGCCTTCTGCTGGAGTCTCTAGGCGGCAGCGAGCCAGCGAGCCTCTCACGCTTCCTATTCATGCTGACGTCATTAGGAAAGAGGAAGCGATGCCCAGGCCTGTTTCTGCACAAGTGGCTCTTCACACGATTGCCCAGCTTTTTAGAACTGTGGACACCAAGACGACAATTTCTGTTGTAAGCCTCGCTGATTTTGCAAACATTGTGTTTTTCTGCCAGAAGTACTTCTACCCCAATTTAGTCTCCCTGCAAACTCCTACACATCCTCTGTCAGCTCAGCGCAGAGTTCCTCTGTGCAGCCTTCCCTGATGCCACGGGGGTGGGAGGGGGGGATACAGGGGGAGGTGGCTGCAATAACCAGAGCAGGTGAAAGCCCGGAGCCATGTGGACCTGGGCTAGACCCCCACCTCCACTACTGCTCAGAGTGTGCGTTACTATAGACTGAATTGTGACTCCAAAAAATTTATATGGGGAAACTCTAACCCCCAATGCAACTGCATTAATGATGGGGCCTTATGGAGGTAATCAAAATTAAATGAGGTCATAAAGGTGGGGTCCTTATAAGAAAAGGCAGGGTATTCTCATTCCCCCCCTCTCTCTCTCTCTCTTCCTTCCTCTCTCCCTCCCCCCACCCCTTCTCTCCACCACATGAGGACACAAGGAGAAGGTGGCTGTGTACAAGCCAGGAAGAGAGTTCTCCCCAGGAACTGAATTGACCAGCACTTCCATCTGGGACTTCTAAGCTCCAGGACTATGAGAAAATGAATTTCTACTGTTTTAGCCACACAGTCCAGGGTATTTTCTTATGCCAGCCCAAGCAAACTCAGACAGTGAGTTTATGCAAACTGTTTGCATGTTACTTCTCCAAGCCTCAAGGTCCTTGTCTGTTACTTGGAGATGGTCATCTACAAACCTCAGAAAGGTTTTGAAGGAATCCGATAAGATGACATCGGCCATATAATAACCCTCAACCAGGATTAGCTGAAATTACTTTTATTCCCCTTAGTTCCGCCTCTGCCCTGCGCCTTCCTACTGTCCTGTAGTCCTCAGTTCTCACGTTCACCCCCCCAACCTGTCAATATCTCTTTCCTTGGTTGTCTACACATGCCCTGGCACTGAGGTGGCACTCAGGATTGTGTGAAATGAATGAACGAATGAACGAATGAATGAACGAATGAGTCATTGCTTGAGGACAGAGACTCTAGCGCCCACATGCCCTCCCTTCTCTCTCAGGTTCTGTCCAGCCAAGCACAGGATTGAGCATAATAATTGGGGAGCCTTTCCTGGTTCTATGTCGAGCTCGGTGTGGTGTGTAGACCATAAGGATGGGCACCCTGAGTCCTGATGTTCCGAATTCAGACATAGGTCCCTGCCTTTTTCCCTGCCTTTTTCCTTGCCTTTTTTCTGGTGGGGAGAAGGGCATAGAGGAGGAGAGGGAAAGAGTGGGTAACTGTTGGCATTCTCTCTCCTGATGGTTCTGTGATTACTTCCTGCCAGGAAGGGCACACCGGGCCAGGAAGAGTGTAGAACACTTCTTTCCCTGGTGGAGGAAGTCCTAGCCCAAGGACAGGAATGGGGATCAGCCTTGTGGTGAAGGGCACACTGAATGAAGCCCCCTCTGGGATCCAGCATTTTCTCTGGCGCTCCTGCATGTGTGTGATCAGTCCTGGCATGGAGAAAACATTCAGGGCTCCGGTGCCAGCCATGATGGGTCTGAGCCGAATCTTGTCCTCAGCCGTCTTTCTCGCTTGCTTGCTCCCACTCAGTGGCTCGGAACCCCTTTGTTGAACTGAGGATGCAGGAAAACACCAGACACGGGGTTGTCCCAGAGGAGCTCAGGTATGTAGTTCAGTCTGGAGGTAGGCAGAGCAGAGGGAGAAAAGAGGCGCCTCCAAGGATGTTCCTCCATGTTCTCCACGCACCGCCACACCTGAAACCTCAGGGGTGGGAAGACTGACGCGGACGCAGGGTCTGCTGGGGATATCTGCTGCCTACTGGCTCAGGGAGCTCCATGCTACCCCCATCACCCACCATGAAAGTGCCAAGAGACTCGCACTGCTGATGCCTTCTTTGATGGATGAAGGTGCATCTCAACCTCCTGGCTCCCTGAGTGACAAGAGCTGGTCCCCTGGTCCCCTGGCTCGGCTGCAATAAAGTGATAAGTGGAAAGTAGACGAAAGAAATTTCAAAGCAAAACTTCTTATAGACACTGTAATAACTACAAATTTTAAAATACTATCTTTTTAATAAACATATTAAAATATGAAATAATGGAACGTCTAACAATTAAACAATGATAAGGGAGCCTGTGGGAAGTCCTGTGTCTGGCTATGAGAATCAACCATAAGGGTAAATTTGGGGCAATCACGTCCTGCCACACAGTTCTGGGGAGGTGGTATTAAGAGAAGCAATGTTCTGTAATGAATAGTGAACTTCATAGTTGGAGCTGGCCTGAGTTCTAATCTCAGCTCTGGCACTTGCTAGCTAGCTTTGCGTCCTTGGGCAAGTTACTTAACCTCTCTGCGCCTCAGTTTTCTGTTGTATAGAATGCGATGATAATAGTTATTATAAGGATATATAATAAGGTTTTTATAAGGATTTATTAGTAGGTACATGCAAAGCCCTTGGAACATCGCGTGGCACGTAGGCATTCACTCTACTCATATACGACTTAGTTTTTACCACTGGAGGCACGGGTGGGTCTCCCAGGTGGTATCTGGAAGGTCCCGTTTCTCAATCCCTGGACAACGGTTCCCTCAGCCTGGGCTTCCTCATTGCATCCACATGTTTTGAATACATAAGTCTCTAAGCCAAGGCCTCCTGTCCCCAGGATTGTTCCAAGCCTGCCCTGAGGGGAGCAACTCCCTCACTGTTTACCCTAATAAAATTCATGAGTGGATTTGAGATGGAACCCAGTCCCCCTCTGGAGTGGGTGAACCTCTCACCACCCCCCACTACCATCCCATTTGTCTTGTTGACGTTCTAAGTTTCTACCCATTTCTTTCTGCAAGTCCTGTTTCAGTCAGACTGGCAACAAAAAGGGAGCTGTCCAGAGGCTGAGAGAGTGACAGGACGTGAAGGGCCCTGGGTGAAATATGAACTATTAGGGAGGGGAACTGGATGTAAGGAGGATTGTGTGTTTGAACACTTGGGCTTAAGATGGAGACAGAGCAGTCCTCTCTCGGAAAGTGAACTTGGGGTCTCCTTACATTTGGGCAGGTGTGTGGAGGTGAGTTCAGGTTGAAACTAAAATGAGGAGATTCAGGTGGATTCACAGAGCTCACAACAGAAATACTGAGCCCAAAGGAGGGTAGTTGGAAACGGTTTGGACCTAAGAAGTCACAGGGAAGAATGTGTTCTCTTCCCTGGGTCCCAGGGCTGGAGCGTGAGCCTGGGCCGCTGGGTGGCACAGGACGCTCAGGCTGCCACCACTATTCCAGGAAGCCCTTGCTGGCATCAGGACCCAGATTAGAGATTCAGCCTTGACGTAGCCTCTAGCTGGCTGTGTCACCTTGGGCGTGCCTCTCACTCTCTCTGAGCCTCACTTTGAGGTCTCCTCATCTGTGAAATGTGGGTATCAGATGGCATTTGCCAGTCTGTGCTCCAAGCCTAGCCTCTGCAGGCCTGGGGGCCCTCCAGCCCTCTCTGTTCTGCTGATGTTCTGCTCCCCAGCTGTCCTGAGGAGGCCCAAGTCATCCATCATCATCCTGGAACAAACTTCTGTGATCCAAGAACAAATCTGAAACGTTATCCACCAGAAATGGAACTGTTAATTGGACAAAAATAATCTTTTAGATAGTTCATCAGAAAGAGCGTTTGTTCAGCAGGAAAAAAAAACAAAACCACCACAGCAGTGTGGGAACATGTACCTTCTGGCCGGCCGGCCACGTGCAAAAAAGAATCATCTCTCAAGATGGCTCCCTTATATACACCCGCCACACACACAGGAAGTTAGAAACATCAGGTTTAACAGAAAGTCCGGACTAGAGAGTACTAGGAAGCCCAGCTCCAGCCATATACTCCCAACTGCCCCCTGGTCAATTTCCTTAAAGTGCCAGTTCACTTCTATCAGAATGGTACTACGGTTTTATGATTATAAATGTGAGTCTCCAAACTTTAAAGGCTGGCATTTTTCTGGGTAATAATAACAGTTTCTCAGCACTGTCAACACCACACAGCTCCTGGGTTTCCTCTCCTACACGTCTGTGATACTTAATAAACACTCCAGTTCAACCAGCCCATCGGATAATACCCCTAATTTTCCATGCACAGTCGAACATCTTTCTGGTCAAAGTTTTGGGCAATGTGTTTCTAGAGGGAATGCTGTACTCAGGATAAATGGCCCAGGCAGAACCCCAAAGACTTCATCTTTAAATTCTGAAAATGGTTCACGGTCTACAGCAGTCATTTCTATAAGCATTTTGTTTAAATTTTAGCCTCCATAGACTCAAACTATGAGGAATGGCCTTCCTGAAGCATTTTAAAGCCGGTTGTTTTGAGGCCTGAATAGTAATACGAAAATGTGTTTGGGGTGCCTTGTTTATCAATAATATTGTCTTCCTTTCTTCATTCTCTTCATCGTCTTTATCATGTCTACTTCAAAAATAATTTGTCATGGGCATTGAACTCATTTTAAACTTTTTTATCTTTGTGAAATTTGGACATGGCAAAGTTGGCATTTTGCTTCTAATTTATTCTCACAAGATGGGAACAACTCTTCAATGAGACCTTTTCCTAAAGGATCTATGGCCTAAACGGAATTAAACCACTAAGAAATGAAATAAAATTCTTAAAGGGATTCTGTTCTGCATAAGGAATGTTAGTACTCTAAAATTTCTATAGCGATTAGGATTATAATATAATTAAATCTTTATTTTCTGCCTCTTATTCTTACTTAAATTTTATAAGCTCAAACCATCTCTAGTGTTCTTCCTGAAATTATCAGCAAATACACTCTCTCTTAATATTTATATTAACCATCAACCTACTTCCCGATTTAACTATTTAAAGCTCTTAATTATTGTTTTTCTTCATCAAATTAACAGTGCTCACTATCATTAATTAGTGCAGCATTTTATTCTTCAAATAATAAATAATGTTTATACTTCAACTGACTAATTCCATTTCAGCATTAAAAAGTACATAAGAAAAGACATTATGAGGAAAAAAGAGAGAAGTCAATGGGTGGCTATAAGTTCAAAAAGGGAAAACTATGGAATAGTGCTCAGAGGTGCACACTGGATGATAAAACAATAAAGGAGTAAGGAGGTGATGGATACTACCGTAGAAGTCAGGATACTGGTTTGAGGGCCTGACAGTTTGTCTGGCAGCAGCACGTGGAGGACTCTGGGTGGCCAGCTAGGTTCTATCTCCTGTCCTAGGGAGGCAATTACAAGGATATTCACCTTATAATAACTTATTAAGCTAAACATGTTTCGTGTGGTTTGGGGTACTTGTGTTGTATTTAATGATGAAACAGTTTTTTACTTTGAGCAGTAAACGCACAATGCAGTATACATAGATGATGTATTATAGAATTGTACACTTGAAAGCTATATAATTTTACTAACAAATGTACCCCAATAAATTTAATTTTTTTTTTAACTGAGTCATCCTGTCACCTGTTGGCAGCTCAGCAGCAGCTCAGCTCAGGCCGGGACTCGAACCGCTGTTGCTCAGAGCTCACACGCTTGAGCGAGCTCTTAACCAACTGAGCCACTTGGCCAGCCCAATAAATTTAATTTTTAAAAAAACTAGTTTGTGTTTTTTTTAAAAAAAAGGATAAAATTCCAATCTGGAAATAAGAAAATAAAAACCTGGGCATAATATGTAACATTAAAGGCCTTTCTTTGATAAGCTCCTTTTTACACCTGCCTGCGTTTGTTCCTATTCTGCCCTTGGCACACCCCTGTTTGTGTTTCAACCCTCCATTCAAGGTCACGACGTTATGTGAGAAACTTGTTCTATCCCTCCTCCTGTCTCCCCGTCCTGTCCCTTCCCACCCTGAGCGACCCAAGGCCTCCCCTGCATCCCTCTGCTGGGACTCCCACCACAAAGAGTTGATATTCTTTTTTCATTTGCCTGTTTCTTTTATTCCACTGCAAGCAGCTTGAAAGCAGGAGCCTAGCATACCCCCAGACATATAGTAGACACCCAATAAATTAGGTTTAAACTTAACAAACATTCTTCTCTGCTCCAATATCTCAGGTTCCACTTAACGATTTTCAATGATTATTCAAGGAAGGTAATATGTCTTTTAAGAATTGTCAGAAAAGGGGTTTCTGGCTGAAGGGATTACAGGTTGAATTGTTAGTCCCCAAATCCACAAGGTTATACATCTCCTGTGCGTTTCGTTTAGGGAATGAGATTTCAGGTGACTTCCACTTTCCCCTTGGGATGAAAACGATCTTGTCATTTGCCATAATAAATGAACATTTATGTAATGAAAGAATAATAAAATATAATGTTCCTTTAAGATGATTTTTTTTCAATTAATTTGCATTCGCTGAGCAGCTTAAAAGACACATGAGGTATTTTCACTGCAAATTATATCTCACACGTTTGCCTGTGTTTGAAAATGAATGTTCAGTTATCACACTGACGCGTGAGACATGCTGGAGTCAGTTGTTTTCAAAGAGGGCTGAACAGTCCCTGCGACCCAGCACGCCCATGTACTGTGACTTTGCAGCTTCTCCTGCTAACAGGTGGAATCCTTTCATCCTGCCCTTGGATCTGAGCCAGCCGGGGACAACGGTCAGCCAGCAGAATACAGTGGGAGTGAAGCTGTGTAAACTCGGGGACTTTTGAGGCTTTTCGGCTCCTTTTTTCTTCCCTCAGAAGTCAGCCGGTGGGTCAAGCAACCCAGGCTCTCCAGGTGTAGAGGCTTCGTGGAGAGACGGGAAGGTGCGAGGAGGGGAGTGAGATGTCCCAGCTGACAGCCCGTGAGCCCACCCCTCCCGCTTCAGCCCTAGCCAAGCTCCCAGCTAAATGCTGCCACGTGGGTGATCCCTCCTGTTTCCAGGAGCAGGACAACCACCCGGCTGAGCCCACTCGCAGAATGGCGACAACTGACAAGTGCTTGTGGTTTTCAGCCACTGCGTTTGGGGTGGTTTGTTACATAGCGATAGGTGGCTTGTTTTCCAGGCAGACTCTGGCTTGCTGGTTAGACTTGGTGCAACCGCTAGGATCACGTGGTTGGTCACATGGGCGCAATGCCAGAGACATCCCCAAAGGCAGGCACTTGGCCATGTGGCCTTTCCAGGCTCAACTTCGGAGCACCCTTACTACCCCGTCCCCGTCTCCCTCTTCCCTGTACCGTGCCAGGTAGGAGCCGGAGCCCACCCTCAGCTCATCACTTGATCTCCTTGTCTTGTATCTCATACATTTTTGGTATGTTCCTCAGAGCTGAAAACATCATCAACTCGCTTTCATCTTTGAAAACATGCCCAGCTCCCTCATCCTAACCAAGCGTCCATGTTAAGTTTCCGTGCCTCCTCTCCCCTCCTCTGCCAGCTAAGCTCTTCCAAAGAGGTCTCTTCAGTTCCCTCTTCCTGTTCGCTACAACCTGGCTTCCACCCCCACTGCGCCCCAGAACTGTCCCCCCAGTGCCACCTAGGAGCTTCTTATCGCCTTATCTGATGGACCCGCCTCCATCTTGACACAGTCGTCAACACTGTTGCCACTCCTAGTGCCTGAAACCTCTCTCCCGTGTTATGCCTTCCGCCAGTGCCTCTGTTTCCCACTTTCCTCTCTGACTGTCCCGCCTCTGTCCCTTCCTGGCCTTCTCAGCGTCTCCCTTCAGCACCAGCGTCCCCAGGGGCTTAGTGCTGTGTTTCTCATCCCCCTCCACGTGAACGACCACCTGCTTCGGGCTCTGCCTTCAGGTTCTCGGGTCCCTCAGGTTCCTCCCTGTGCATTTCTTTAGGCCAGTTGTCTCCTCCAAGCCTGAGAGCCACAAATCCAACTACATGCAGGACCCCCCCCCTTAGATGTTCCAGAGGCACCTCAAATTCAGCATGCCTAATCATGACCCCCCTCCGCCCCCCGCTACCTCCCCTTTTATAAGTGGCCCTGCCCTGGGCCGTGGGTTCTGCTAAGGCCAGAGAAATGCTGACACACACCTGTTTCCTCATGGGCTAGGGTGGCCTGAGCCAAAATGAGAACTAGAGAGGCCTCAGGGCCCCTCCTCCCAAGCCACATGACTTTTTATCAAGGGTGGGTCTAGGAGGGAAAGGAGATCCCGGAACTAAGCTGTGGTCACAAGAAGACAAGACCTTGTCAACACCTGTTCTACCCAAAGACGCATAAGAAGCTGCAACCATGTGAGAACAGAGGGAAAAGCCCAGGACTGAGCAGCATGGCAGCCCTCCTTCTGCAGTGATGGGCTACACTTATGAAAACCCCGCAATGGCAGCGCCTAACCGAGCTCAGGGCAGGATTTGCAGCCTGGAGCTGTGAAAGGAGTTCTGGCTTCGTGGTCACATGGATGTTGGAACCAGCTCTGCCACTAAGCCGCGTGACTCTGAACAAGTTCCTCCATCTTTCTGAGTAAAGTAAAAAAAAAATAAAGACAGCTCATGAGATGCAGTGAAAGCTAAACTGTGGCACAGTGACACAGCTGGCTTATGAATAATGGGCGTAGTACAGTTTATTTCTTGCCCTTGGCTTGCTAGAAACTCTACATCAGCTATAACCAGAGACTTTAAAAATTCCTCTTTGTATCTTAAGGAAGTTTGGAATAAGCAAAAAAGATTTCTGGATGTCCCCAAAGGAAAATTACCCTTTGTTTAGAGCACACTCGCGATGTGGGGAGGGGAGATTCAATTCTAACCTTTTATTGCCTTTGAGCTATTTCACAATTCAGTCAATTGTACATAATGGATAGAAATGCAAAATAATCTTTGTCAAAAGGCACGCAAATCGGGTGGCCGATTAGCTCAGTTGGTTAGAGTGTGGTGCTAATAATGCCAAGGTTGCCGGTTCAATCCCCACATGGGCCACTGTAAGCTGCGCCCTCCTTAAAAAAAAAAGGCACATAAATCAATTCTGTTCAGTGGAGGGACCACCCCACCCCACCCCCAACACATGCAGGCAAGGCATTTCAATATTCCAAACCTGTAGGAAATGTGTCTGTTCTTCAGAATTTCCTTTGAACTGGGGGTAGCATCTGCTTGGTTTTCTCATTAATAATGAATTAAATGGCATCTTTCACATATGCTGACTTTATAGCTGCATGATCTTATCCTCTTTTCAGATTTATCACTATTCAGTAGAAGGCCAGATGTAGAAAAAAAGTGATATGGTCTGTAGGAAGTGGTCCCAGAGTCAGACTGGCTTTTACCATGACTGACGGTCCAGGATGCCAGCTGCAGCCCCCAACCTGGTGCCCCTCCCTCTTTGGAGAACCTTGAGGAGACCCTGGCAGTGGGTCAGTTACTTGGGGCTCTCCATCAAGAAAACAATAGTTGGGGTGACGGGTATGCTCATTACCTCAATTGTGGTGATGGGGCAGTGCTGTCAGCATGGAACTCCAGGACCTGATGGTCCCCTGCAGCCTGGATCTACTCAACCACCCCAATACCCAAACCCCAACCCCTTATTTTCCTGGGTCCCTTCTGGTGCGAGTCAGCTTTATATCTAAGCAACCTCCATCTTAATCTCTCAAAGCACATGCTAACCACTTCCTCTGCCTCATTGAACACTATTAATGCAAAAGAATCAAATTGTACAATGGAGAGGGAGCAATTGAAAGGTCTGGACTAACCACAGTCCAGGGAAAAGTGGGTTCTCACGCTGGCCCCCAAGGTCTGTGTTTGAAGCTAGGAACTTGGGGTGCAGAGGTGGGACATCCTGTGGGACCTGGGCAGTCCTTGCCAGTAGTGGTGATTGGGGTGACTCTCAGGACAGGGAAGGAGCCCTCACTGGCATCAAGCTTCCTCCCGTCTGTCTGCCAGTTGCCCCCAACCACAGCCAGCACCCCAGGCTCCCCATGGTTGTGCAGCGTTCCAGCCCTGCCTGCCCTCTCTGAGCCCAGCACTCCATACCCACCTATTCGGGCTGCTGCATTGGCAACTCTGTCCATTGGCCTTCAACCAGAGGCAGCTCCATGCCTTGAGCCATCTCACAGAATCTGTCCAGGTCACCCTTGTGCTCAGAGGTGACCTGCCTGCCTCCCGCTCCTGGATCTTCCTCTCCCCTTGACTGCACCTGTGCCCCTCCCCCACTGCCTAGTAGGGGGCCAAGGTCCATCCTCAGCCCTGTGACCAGTCCTGGGCTTAGGCAGGAGGGATGCACAGGGCTGCAGTCGTTCCCAACTCCTGTGAGCCTCTGCTCTCATCCCTTGGTCCAATCTTATTCCTGAGAGCTGGGGCCACCTTGTGCCAGTCTCTGATGGCGAAATTCTGCCTTTTACGAAACTCACAGAAACAAGATCATTTGTCATGAGCAATTCAACAGGCAAGCTGGACAGAGTGCCCAGCTGGCCCACATTCCGTGGGAAATCTTGCTGGGCAGCCATTTGATAGCAATAGAGTGCCACTCAGCCTCAAGCAGTGAGGGCTGGGCAGCCAAGTGCGGCGAGCCGTCAGGCTCTGATCAGGACAAGCGCCGGTTACACTGTGACCAAAGGCAGGCAGAGCACACCCATGGGCCAGGGCGTCCTTTCCCAGAGAGGGCTGGGGGCCAAGGTGGACAGCCTCTGCTGTCCCGTGAGCCACGTTTGGGAATGCCTGTCCTCTCTGGATTTTTATTCCTTTTGATCCCCGTGAAATGGCAGCAGTCGCGCAACACCAAGAGACTGGGAAGAGTCAAAGAATGTCCCTCTTGGTTTCCTATTGGTCACATTGCCAGGCACAACCCACTGTTGCCAGTCTTCTACTTGAAGGTGGGGTTCCTCCACCTATGGGAAGATTTAGAGTCTGGCTTTTACCAGTTCTCATGTGGACACGGCAACACCAGTGGGATTTGCCTCAGCCTGAGGCCCACTGTAACAGCCAGATGGAGAAGTTACCGGGGCCCATGTGACATCACAAGTTCCTTTCATCTCACTTGGGATAATGATGCAATCACTTTAATTTTTAAGAAACCCATATACATATGTAAATAGCAAGTAAGCAAAATTCCAACCACAGAGGGTTGGGGTTTTTTATTAAAAAAAAAACAACCACAATTTTGAGAAGACAACTTTGAACAAGGAACTTGCAGACATACATAATTACTTCTTAGTATAAATAAGCAAGCTTTCCTTGGAAAAGACATAAAGAGTGAGGCATAACCTTCTTAAGAAGAACATATAGCAGTTAATGGTAAAGAAGAAAGAAAGAGAGAGAGAGAGAGAGAGAGAGAGAGAGAGAGAGAACTTTGTAATACTAGATCTTTCCATCTAGGATCTATGGATCTCCAATTATTTGGGGATTTTACTTCAGCAAATTCTAAAAGTTTTCTTTCTTGGTTCTTCCAGGTTTTTAAGATATTTTAGAGTTGGCCTTCCTTCCTTCTTTTTCTATTTTGTGGCTAATATCTCCCAACCCCTTATATTCCAATTGGTTATTATTAGCACAAAGGAAAACCATTGATACTTGTATGAGATTATACCCAGTCCCTTCTTGAGTCTTATTTGTTGAATAATTTCTTTAAAAATCTTACAGATTTTCTAGAAATATAATCATAGTTTCTCTAAATGATAATAGTTTATCTCTCATTTTTAATATGTATTTTGCCTATGGTTCCTGTCCAGTTGCATTAGCTAGAAAGTCCCAAACTATGATGAATGATAACATAATAGCGTAGACACCCATCGTCAGTGGGATTACACAGAGATGACCCATGCTTCATCATTCAACAAGAGACTAGTTCGATTTCTGAAGAATACTCTTTGTCCTATTTGTGAAGGAGGCCCTACTAAAAATGTTTTACATGTGAGAGCAGGCACCCGCCTCTCAGGAGCTGTGTGTCCAAAGACATGTCGCTGCCCACCCTCTCCAAGCAGCCATGTGAGTTGTTTTAATAAAATGAGCATCTGGGGCCGGCTGAGTGGCTCAGTTAGTTAACAGCACGAGCTTTGAGCAACAGGGCAGCCGGTTCAATTCCCACATGGTCCAGAGAGCTGCACCCGGGCTGAGCTGCTGCTGAGCTGCCAACAGGTGGCAGGATGGCTCAGCTGGTGAGAGCACATGCTCCAAACAACAAGGTTGCCCCTTCGACTCCTGCATGGGATGGTGGGCTATGCCCAACCACAACTAAGATTGCACACAGCACCTTGAGCCGAGCAGCTGCAAACTGCTGACAAGCAGCCGGATGATGACTGGACTTGGAGCTGAGCTAGCTGTGCCCTCCACAACTAAGGCTGAAGGACAGCAACTTGGCAGTCCCCCTTTCCCAATTCCCCAACACTGTTCCCCTTCCCCAATTCCCCAATAAAAATCTAAATAAATAAATAAAAATAAAATAAAATAAAATGAGCATCAGATTGAGACCACACCATACCAGAAGGCTCCTTTAGTTGGACACCAGGCAGGCGACAAGGGGCTGTGACCAAGACAAACTTAACATTCTTCTCAGCTTGACTAAACCTTAGACTAGCTTCTTCCTGACCCTAGGCACTGCCCTCCCTTTTTTGGGACCATTTTCTTTAGAAAACTTGTAAGTTCTTTCACTGTCCCTTTGAGATATATAAAAATCTTTTTTGAAAGTGTCTTTCCAGTTTTATGACCCAGAACTGTCTTTCTCAAGAACCTGGGAGCCATTCCTTTGAAGTGTAATCATCGAGAAGGTAGTATCTCTATCTCCCAGGCTCTGTGGGTGGAAAGGAGCCTAACTTCAGTGGGCACCTTGCTCCAAGTTGTAAAGTTCCCTCCTGCCATAAGACAGGACAAGTTTACTTTTTCCTCGGGTAAAGCCAATTAGCAAACACAGATGGCCCATAATCTCTCTCTCACACCAGCAGTTATAAGCTCTTCCACACTTTTTTTCAGCAGAGTTGAATTCAGACTTGGTTCTAGTCTCTCTCCCCTATTGCAATAGCCTTGAATAAAGTCTTCTTTTCTATTTAACTTTGACTGGTACAGTTTTTGCTTTGGCAATTCTTTGCTTGGTGACATGGAAGCCACAGTGGTGGGACACTCTTCTTGGAACCCCAAACCCACAAGGGTTATGGGGAGACTTCTAATGTAATGGGATTTACTTGTAGGGTCTATCCTTTAATTTATTGTGCTGATTGATTTTCCTAACTTTGCACTGTCACTGCATAGTTGGAATAAATTCTGCTCAGACAGATATTCCTTTAAAACACTGCTGGATTTGATTTGCCAATATTTTAGTTATGATTTTGTGTCTGCATTTATAAGTCAGGTTAATTTGTAGAACTCTTTTTGTGCTAACTTTATCAGATTTGAGGAACATGGAAGAAAAAGTTAAAAATATAATAACAAAAAAGTATTGGTTTTTAAGGATAAAAAAGCTGTCACATAGCAAGTACTTAAAAATTCTCTTGCAGTAAAAAGAGAAGAGAGGGATGTCTCTCTTAATTCTGCAATCATCCACTGAAGCTTCATACTCTCTGAAATTTGCTAAGCTTGCTATTGAATCATTTATGTATACAGACATAATTTTTGAGCCATCATCAGTTTTCATGAATTATATAACGTAGCCTGAGCAACATTTCACAACCATGTGAAACAACTGAATTATTCTAAGAGTCTTAATAGGAATAATAAAGAGTAGATGAACATGTTTCTTAGCATCAGAGGAACTCAGTCTTTCTGGGAGACAGAAGTTCAAGTTCAAGTAAAGCAAAAGTACATGTGTTTTGAGGCTTTTTCTTTAGTTTTAAACTCCAGCCTGCAAGTCCATTTCAAATTAGTTGCTAACCTACTTTCTAGTCTAAAAAGGACCTCATCTTCCTGATCTTCAGTTTTCTTTATAAAGAAGGACTTATGTGCTTTTTCCCATATTTGAAAAATGTAAGAACTGCACTGAACTAATTGGGAGGCTTTCCTTCCAT